CTTACCCAGTGATCCTGTGAATAACACACTTCTTGCCCCTGAGTGGCTACACTCATTACTCTATTGTATTTCCAGGGGGAGTCATGGTTGGCCTTTATATGTTACATGATGGGCTGAGGATTGATTGATGAGGAATTGTGATTTAAAGTGGTTGTAAACCTCAGACATGAAATATGAACAAAGAATATAGTGTGTACTTGTCTCAATTAAAAGCACCAAGTGGCATTTCTGTCTGCTGCTTTGTTCTTCTGCTATCAGCATGAAACCACCAGGGAGAGACCTCAAGCAGATTGACAGCCTCAGCTCTGTTCCTGTGTGTTTTGTAAAAGGGGGGGGAGTCCCTTCCCTTCCCTTCAAACTGCTCTCACCTATCCTCACTGTAGAGTGTAATTGCAGGTCCCCACCCTTTGTCACTTCTGCCAAGTTTTCCTGGCACCAAGAGAAAATGGGTGACGGGGAGGGACCTCCATCAGATTAACAGTCTTAACTCTGTTCCTGTGTGCTGTGTGGAGGGGGGAGTGTCTCTTCTCTCCAATCAGCTCTCAGAACTCTCCTCACTGAGCTCTGCAGAGTCTAACCTCAGCTCACCACCCCCTTTTTTCTGAACTCTCAGACAACCTGTAAATTCGCACTACAAACATGTAGAGAAGAGTGCAGATAGACAGATATAACTTGTGTAGGAGGATCTGTGTCATCTCTGTATACCTCCTAAGGCCAGTCACTTCACTAGGCACATGTAAGGGTTTACAACCACTTTAAACAAGAACGGTATAGATGTTTGTGCTTTCTTTTCAGTTCATAGGAGATGACAAACACTTGCATTCCTGGCAAAATCAACAGATATGTTCTGTACTTTCTGAAAATGTTCATAGCCTTAAAATGAAACCAAATGCAGCCATCACACTGAAGGAATGATGAGCTCCAATATATTATATATTTGTTTTTAGGTTCAGATACTGTTTAATAATCTTAATCTTTCTGAAGGACAGTCCCTGGCCAAACAGGAGGTACTACACAACTTTGAAGCACCGTGCCCTATTTTCCTACTACAGGAAAGTGTCCCGATTTTCCAGGCAATACTGGCAACAATGTTGGTATAGGCAACAACTCCACTTTTTCCTTCCTCCAATTTTATAGACTGTGCTGTAAAACAGAGACTGGTAAGAATGTAAAGCCTATGAGAGAATTTGGTTCAGTTTTTTTTTTGTCTTGAAAAGCATCCCTACCTGAAATGTTTTCTTTTGTAACTTCTATAAAGTATCGTACCGCAAAACATTATAAACATATGGCTGTCTGAATTCTACAGCTGGTCTGTCAAGGCTGGACCAGTCCTCCTCTGCTGAGAATCCTTCATACTGAATACAATAATCAGTTCACAGTGCATCTCTTGGACATGGTCTGCTAACTGGCAGCAGTATGCCCAAATCAGAGTGTAATAAATTAAACAGGAACATTCACAAATATTAACTACAAATATTAAACCAGACTTTGGAAACATATAAAGAATGCTGTAAAACACAGTGAACAAGGCTTTTTAGAGACAAGTAATAATTACAAAAGAGTTCGCTGAATATCAAGTCACCTAGAGGTTTCTACATTCTTTGTATTTGAAGCCCTTTGTGTAGCCAACACTTAAACACAAACCTCACAGGAAACGCACATGATGAGGTTCACGGAATTAAAACACATTTCAACATTGCAAGGCCAGGTCTGTGAGCCAGGGCCGCCCAAGTCTTGTCACGTCTATTTTCGGATATTCGTCAAGATGTGCTGAAAGATCGGTTTCAGAGTGTTGAAAACCACAGGGCCTTCCTTAGAACCTATTTTAACCTGCAAAACAAAGATTAATGGTGTTAGAAATCAGCTGAAACCAGGGGTGTAACATACACAACCGAGTTCCATAGAAAACGTATCACAGAGACCTCTGACCCTCCATACATTTTAAAGAGGACCTTAGCACTGGAGGTTGTGACCAAAAAAAAACAGCCAGAGGGCAAATGGCTAGTCACCATTGTTACCTATAGGCTTCCTGCAGAGAATCTTACCCTATTAGTGACCTACCATGCCTTGTTCTCCAAGGTGTCTCTGAATGGAGGTTTCCAAATAATCAGCACCCAGGTGTATGATGCACATAAAATCGTCTTTATTACATACCCATAGGGATACAAAGAGATCCAGTACACAAACAGATTCTGATGCATTTTCTCCCTTATGTGCCTCAGTTGTTAGTGACTACAGCTAAGGCCCATGAGGGTATTAAGTCAGTGTTTGTTTGTGTACTGGATCCCTTTGTACAAAAAAGTGGCAACCATCCCAACTTATAACAAGCCTTTGCAGTAACGCGCACATGGAAGGGCAATGCACATCACAAAGAAAAGATTTCCCAGCACACTTACCAGCCAGCCTGCAAAACAACCAAATTGACCATGTCTAACAAGTTACATTAAAACAGAGCGTTTTGTTTGCACACTGCACCCAATTCAACCAACTGTATCCCTTTGCATCCCTATGGGTATGTTATAAAGAAGATGGTATCATACACCCGCGTGCCAAACTTCGATTATTTGGATGTCTTTGCTGACAGCTTGTCTGGTTGTGGTCCTGGGAGTTTGTTAAAATTTCATATGGAGCATAGCGGTTGTAGCACCATACTTTTCTGTAATGGACACCTATGACTAGCCTTTGCAGTAAGGTACACATGGAAGGGCAATACACAGCACAAACAAAGAAAAGGTTTCTCTGCATACTTACCAGCCAGTCTGCAAAACAATCAAATTGACCCTGTTTAACCATTTACGTTAAAAGAGAGGGTTTTGTTTGCACACATTTGCAAATATATGCGTGAGTTGCAGTGCCCACATCAAGGATCCTTTGTATACTACAGTCCTAACTCTATAATTTTCAGAGTCTCCTACACAGGAGCACATAAAGCAGTGGATAGATTAAGGGCAGGTGTGCCTGTAGGCAGCCCATTTCTCCTTAAAGGCTGAGATGTACATGATGTACAGCAAGAGCACAATGGCAACTAAAGCATCCAGTGCATCCCCTCTCTGATTCCACCAACTGTACAAAAAAATTGGAAACAACCCCAACCTATAACTAGCCTTTGCAATAAGGAATGCATGGATGAGCAACGTACATCACAAACAAAGAAAATTATCTCAGCATACTTACCAGCCAGCTTGGAAAACAATCAAATTGACCCTGTCTAACAATTTATGTAAAAACAGAGGGTTTTGTTTGCACACATTTGCAAATATATGCATGAGAATCAGTGCCCATGTCAAGGCTCCTCTATATACTGCAATCCTAACTTTATAACTTTCAGAGTTTCATAAATAGGAGCACATGTAACAGTGGATAGATTAAGGGCAGGTATGCCTTGAGGGAGCCCACCCGTCCTTAAAGGCACAGGCATGCACGTGATGCCTAGCAAGAGCACAATGTCATGGAAGGCATCCAGTGCATTACTGCACCCAATGCATCCAACTGTATCCCTTTGCATCCCTATGAGTATATAATAAAGAAGATTTTACATGCATGATACACCCGGGTGCCAACCTTCTATTATTTGGATGTCTCTACGGACAGCTTGCTTGGCTTCGTTCCTGCCACAGTGGGAGTCTGTAACATTTCATATGGAGCATAGGGGTTGTAGCACCATACTTTTCAGTTAAGGAATGAATGGAGGCTGCCAATCTTGATAGAGGCAGGGTTTTGCTATCCCAGAGCTGCCCCCTGGATGACTGGTAACCTGATGACTGGTGGGGGAAAATGCAGCAGACGAGGTGCAAAAAGAACAGATCAACAGAATGAGTAGGGATCCACTTACACCAGCCACCGCACTAAATGCACTACTGCTAGTGTGTGTGTTGGAAGAAGACAGTGCTGAAGTGCGGATCTCAACACATTGGGGGTGATTTACTAAAACTGGTGCACTCAGAATCTGGTGCAACTGTGCCCAGTAACCAATCAGCATATAACTCAGCTTGCGCAATAAAGCTTTGACAATAAAACTTAGAAGCTGACTGGTTACTACGCACAGCTCCACCGGTTTTAGTAAATCTCCCCCACTGTTTACTTTTTTCTTAGAACTTTAATAAAATGTCACACGTGTCATTTAACCTCCCTGGCGGTATGATTATTTCAGATTTTTGGTGCTGAAAGCTGTACCATTATTTTGCATGGAAATTTGGCGTTTTATATTGTAGGCCTGTAATTTTTAGGAATAACTCACTGAAATCTGTCCGAACAAGAGTCTAGTAAACATCCTGGGTAGGATAAAACTTGAAACACATAATCATAAATTATAAATTAATAAATAATCATAAAAAATAATAATATAATAATAATAAATTTAATTCAATAATATAATTAAACCAAAAACACTAAAATTTGAAATATAGCACCAAGTTCGCACATCACTGAGCAAAGTCGCAAAATCGTTTTCAGTGTCTGATGACGAATTTCCCCACGAATCATTATCACTCAATTCTGCAAGTGGTTCTAATTTACTATCACTGTTCTCTAGCGGGTTTAAAACCGCTTTTGACCTAAAGGGATGCTTTTTGGACGCCATGGATGTTTTTCAGTTTCCAGGCAGAAAGAACAGTAAAATGCAGGCAGGGCGCAGGACAAAGCACTCGGGACAAAATGTATGTGAAATGGTTTGATACAGTAATGTTTTACTATGTGATTTTAGTGAATGTCACTTTTTGTCATTTTCAAATTTCCCGCCGTTCCATCCCCCATACGTCCCGACGCTCGCAGGGGACGGAACCCAGATGACAGATGCCGGCATCCGCCGGATTACATTGCTGGGGACACTGCAGGAGGGACATCGCAGGAGCGCAGGACAAGGTAAGTGATCGAGGGATCGCGGAGCAGCGCCGCATGGTAAGCCCGAGTGTAGCTCGGGGTTACCGCTTGTGGTACTGAAACTTTATCCCAAGCTACACTCGGGAATACCGCCAGGGAGGTTAAAGTGTTACTAAACCCAGGACCCTGCATTCACTATATCTGGTCTCCCACAGTACACTCAACATGGAAATGCAATTATTTTAGTAAATATAAACTGCTAAATACCTTTTCTCATTAGAAGTATATAGCAGTCTTGTGACTTCTATCAGTGACTAGCTGAGCACTGGTTAAAGCTTGTAGGAGGAGTTGTCATTCTCCTCTGACTGTCCTTTAAGGCTGCATAACCCCTGACCCTCTGTCTGGACAGTACTGATTGACCCTGTGCCGATCACATGCACCCTCCCAAAGAAAAAAGAAACTCTCTAGCAATACACACTAAACTGAGCATGTGCACAGTGCCTCCTAGGGCTCTGTACTTTCATCAGATGGATTGGAGACAGTAGAAGAAGGGGAGGATTAGAGAAGACAGGATCAAACAGCCTTTTTACACAATGCAGAGGATTAACCCCTTAGGTTCGACAGTGAGTATAACAAGTATGCTTTACTGCATATACAGATTATTTTTTTTCAATGCACATCACCACAACGTAATGATGTGAACTGATACCATAGGAAACAATGAAAATTGCCTTGTCTTTGCATTGGGACAACAGTGCCCAGTGCATCGTAATGCAAACAGTGTGTACAATCCCTAAAGCATAAGCAGGGAGATGCATGCAGTTGGTTATTCTCCAGCAAGCAGCACAATGATTACAGCACTAAATTTCACTCCAAATCTCCCAAGACTATAAGGCAGCATTGCCTTAGATCTCACAACAGATATACAGCTAAAATGCTGTAGGCACAGGAGTTCCTAAGCACGCTCACACACCCGGAAGTGCACTGCTATATTTCTGGAGGAACTTGGGACACGAGGTACATTTTTCAAGTTAATGCTTATGCATTCGTCACAAAAAAACAGCTAAAATCGGGATCCCCAGGCACAGAAAAAATTGTGAACAATTAGTCTGTAGATGATGCCGTCTCACCCAAAATTGGAAGGTGGTGCTCTCAGGACCAAAATGCATATAGTAGAAAAAATGCCAGTGGGTGTAGCTCCACTGGAAATGAAGTCCTCAAGAGAACAATCTGTGGCTAAAACATCATGTTTATTGACATTGTAATAACAAATGACACACAGTTAGAGCACCCTCCACCTGATACTTGTAAAAACAAGGACAACGTCGCCATGAGATAACACACCTGTACCGGGATCCTGGTCAGACCATACAACCACTCGCAATCGCCATACACTGAGCAGAAATGCCAAAATGGCATAGCATAATACCAAAAAGGTCATACAGTGGGGATCGAAAGTTTTGGCACCCCAGCTAAAAATTTGTATTAATGTGCATAAAGGTTAGGGACCCTAGACTGTAAGCTCCTTGGGGGTAAAAAGTGATGTATAATATATGTAAATCGCTGCAGAAATTGTTGGCGCTATATAAGTACCTGTAATAATAAAATATAATGCTGTTCTCTAAGGTTTTAAGTAGACCTGGACTCAAAAACTTCAAGATGAATTCGGGCATTGGTATGTTATATATATATAGTTATATTGGTCTAGCTTGGACCAATGTAATTGTGCATATACCATATCTGGCTGAAGCAGACACCACTGCTCCAGTGATCTTCACTTGCTTCCATTTCCAGCACCAACCACCTACCGCGCTGCATACTGAACACCGGAGGTCGGCAGCTTTGCTTTGTGAGGTCACCACCCCGCTGCATACTGAACACGGAGGTCGGCAGCTTTGCTTTGTGAGGTCACCACCCCGCTGCATACTGAACACCGGAGGTCGGCAGCTTTGCTTTGTGAGGTCACCACCCCGCATTTCTACCTTGTCGAATCAGAGAAGGCTTCACATTTACTCAGAAGATGCAAAGCACCCCTTGCAAGCGGCCAACCTCCTGTGTTCAGAATGCAGCAGGGCAGCTACTTGGCACAGAACCTGGAAACAAGTGAAGATCACTGGAGTAGTGGTGTCCACTTCACGATTTGCACTGTTTTAACAAGATACTAACAAGATACAAGAAATACAAAGTACAAGATATTAACTCTGCAGGGTACCCAAACTTTTGCAGACGCCATTTTTTTTGTTTTCTGTTATTTTGAAAGTGTAAATGATGGAAATAAAATCTAACTTTTGTTGACATATTATAAGAATGTCTAATCTGTAATTTGATGCCTTTTGGAGATTTTTCCATCTTTCCTTGGCTTCTTTATGCACATTAATACAAATTTTTAGCTGGGGTGCCCAAACTTTCGATCCCCACTGTACAGGCATAATCATATATGGTCAAAATAAATGACATGTCATGAAGGGCCTAGTAATGAAAATATCATATCAAAATCAGCAGCAAGGATCATAAAGATCATAAGAGGATCACAGCTGAGGATGTCCCCAGTATAAGCATATATCCGGATAAGCAGAATGTGTAGATGGGTCACCAGATGGCCCCAATCGAGCCCTTATGATGACGGGCATGAATTGAGGTGCCGTAATGCTTATGTATGCCATATTTCATTGTTATTAACCTCCCTAGCGGTCTGATTATGTCCATATTTCTGTGCTCAAAGCGGTACATTTTTTTGCATGGAAATATGTATTTTTTTTATTGTAGGCCTGTAATTTTTAGGAATAACTCACTGAAATCTGTCTGAACAAGAGTCTAGTGAACATCCCGGGTATGATAAAATTTGAAACACGAAATCATAAATTATAATTTAATAAATAATCATAAAAAATAATAATATAATAATAAATTTAATTCAATAATATAATCAAACCAAAAACACTGAAATATGAAATATAGCGCCAAGTTCTCACATCACTGAGCAAAGTCACAAAATCGTTTTCAGTGTCTGATGACAAATTTCCCCACGAATCATTATCACTCAATTCTGCAAGTGGTTCTAATTTACTATCGCTGTTCTCTAGCCGGTCTAAAACCGCTTTTGACATAAAGGGACGCTTTTTGGACACCATGGACGTTTCTCAGTTTCCAGGCAGAAAGAATAGTAAAAATGCAGGCAGGGCACAGGACAAAGCACTCGGGACAAAATGTATGTGAAATGGTTTGATACAGTAATGTTTTACTATGTTATTTTAGTGAATTCAGTGAATGTCACTTTTTGTCATTTTTAAAATTTCCGCCGGTTCCGTCCCCCGTACGTCCCGACACTCGCAGGGGACGGAACCCAGATAACAGATGCCGGCATCCGCCGGAGAACATTACAGGAGACACTGCAGGAGGGACATCGCGGGAGCGCAGGACAAGGTAAGTGATCGAGGGATCCTGGAGCAGCGCCGCATGGTAAGCCCGAGTGTAGCTCGGGGTTACCGCTTGTGGTACTGAAACTTTACCCTGAGCTACACTCTGGCATACCGCCAGGGAGGTTAAAACAGTGCAAATCGTGAAGTGGACACCACTACTCCAGTGATCTTCACTTGTTTCCAGGTTCTGTGCCAAGTAGCTGCCCTGCTGCATTCTGAACACGGGAGGTTGGCCGCTTGCAAGGGGTGCTTTGCATCTTCTGAATAAATATGAAGCCTTCTCTGATTCGACAAGATAGAAATGCGGGGTGGTGACCTCACAAAGCAAAGCTGCCGATCTCCGGTGTTCAGTATGCAGCGGGGTGGTGACCTCACAAAGCAAAGCTGCCGACCTCCGGTGTTCAGTATGCAGCGGGGTGGTGACCTCACAAAGCAAAGCTGCCGACCTCCGGTGTTCAGTATGCAGCGGGGTAGGTGGTTGGTGCTGGAAACGGAAGCAAGTGAAGATCACTGGAGCAGTGGTGTCTACTTCAGCCAGATATGGTATATGCACAATAACATTGGTCCAAGCTAGACCAATATAACTATATATATAACATACCAATGCCCGGAATTCATCTTGAAGTTTTTGAGTCCAGGTCTACTTAAAACCTTAGAGAACAGCATTATATTTTTTTATTACAGGTACTTATATAGCGCCAACAATTTATGCAGCGATTTACATATATTATGCATCACTCCTTACCCCCAAGGAGCTTACAGTTACATACACAAAAATGAGCCAGTTTAGACAGGCGTCATTTAACCTACCAGCATGTTTTTGGAGTGTGGGAGGAAACCCACGCAGGCACAGGGAGAACATGCAAACCCCATGCAGGTAGTGCCGTGGTTGGGATTTGAACTGATGACTCAAGTGCTGCTAGGCGGAAGTGCTAATCACTGCTAAGCCACTGTGTTGCCCGATAAGAACATACACTACGAGTTCTTTGATATACACATACTTTTATGATGTCATATTATGTTATGTCAGTGCAAAGCAAATTTAATGTACACACCATTAAAAACTGACTGGACCCTTACTGTTACTTACCTTCTGTTTTCTCCCAAGCCACCCCATTTGGAGCAAATTGAAATGCCTTTACCTCTGGCATTAAAAGAACATGTGAGATTCTCTCCTTTCTCCCACAATACAGCACTGGGCACCTGAGCAGACATAACTGAGCTATAACTCTGCCATACTATGGCCCGGGGAAGGCCCTACCTCATTTACTGTCTTGGTAAAAGGTTGTCCACAAAACAGAAAGTGAAGGGAAATTCCTCTAATGGAGTCCTACAGTGCTTATGTGCTAACAAGAAACAAGCTGATAGGAGGAGAAAGCAGAGTGATAGTGAGATGAGCTCATCAGTGTGCTGCTTCTCTCTTCATTGTCCAGTCACAGGTCTCCTGCAATGTAAGACACAGCAGCACTGTGTGGAAGAGCTGTTTATATCACAGGTTTGGATAGGCAGAAATACAAATCCTTTGGCAGATAAAATAGTTCTCATGGTTGTATTCCAACTTTGTATTTAGCTGTTTGCTTGTTGTTCAAGTCACAGCCTCAAAATGCATGTTCAGGTGTTCAGTTTTGCATCCAAGTATTGTTTTAGTGCTCAAGCTATTCTAATACCTTGTGTTGGAAATCTGGTAATTTGGGCTCTCCTTTTGCTTACTATTATACCACTGAAAAGGTATTCCCAGATACACCCACCATGGGGTGTCTCTCATATAGAAAGCCTGGTGTGACAATGTATTAGAACATAAAACCCTTAT